TCTCACTCTGTTGCCCAGGCTGGAGTACAGTGGTGTGATCTCTGCTGATGGCAACCTCTGCCTCCCATGCTCATGCAATCCTCCCATCTTAGCCTTTCTAGTACTGGCACCACAGGTGTACACAACTACACCTGGATGACTTTTTGATTTTTTGTAGGGACGGTATCTTACTAGATTGCCCAGGCTGGTCTTGAATTCCTGGGCTCCAGGGATCCTCCTGCCGCAGTCTTCCAAAGTGTTGGGATTACAGATGTGAGCCATTGTGCCCAGCCCTGTCTAGCTTGTTTTAATAATTTGACTGCTTCTTTGTTTTTAGGTGTCTGTTAGCACTTGTCAACCATGTATCTGCCCAGAAGAGGAATGCTTTAAGATATTCTGCTTTAACTCATGACACAAAATTAAAAAAAAATCTTGTTAGATCTGTATATGCATTTGATGTGAAGACAGCCTACATGAGAGGAGAGGGGACAGATTTTTAGTTCTCGGATTTTATGATATCCTATTTTGGTTTCTTAGTAGCCTTTTCTCTGGCTCCCATTTCCTTTAGGAAATAAGAATGTCTTCACCATGGGATCTTGTACATGGCCTATGTTACAACAGGAATGACATATAGTGATCAGAAGTAGCACGTAAGTTGCTATAAACTACTGTATGTAATGAGACTTTAAGACTTTTTGCTTAACAATTCCACATTTACATATAGAAATATGTGATTACATAAAGATATGTGTAAGACTGTTGGGGCCAGGTACAGTGGTTCACGCCTATAATCCCAGCACTTCGGGAGGCTAAGGCAGGTGAATCACGAGGTCAAGAGATCGAGACCATCCTGGTCAACATGGTGAAACCCCATCTATACAAAAAATTAGCTGGGCATGGTGGCACGTGCCTGTAATCCCAGCTACTCAGGAGACTGAGGCAGGAGAGTTGCCTGAACCCAGGAGGCTGAGGTTGCGGTGAGCTGAGATCGCGCCATTGCACTCCAGCCTGTGTAACAAGAGAGAAACTCCGTCTCAAAAAAAAAAAAAAAAAAAAAAAAAAAAGACTGTTTTACAGTAGTATTGTTTGCTTTAGTAAAAAATTGTTGCCGGGCGCGGTGGCTCAAGCCTGTAATCCCAGCACTTTGGGAGGCCGAGGCGGGTGGATCACAAGGTCGAGAGATCGAGACCAACCTGGTCAACATGGTGAAACCCCGTCTCTACTAAAAATACAAAAAATTAGCTGGGCATGGTGGCGCGTGCCTATAATCCCAGCTACTCAGGAGGCGGAGGCAGGAGAATTGCCTGAACCCAGGAGGCGGAGGTTGCGGTGAGCCGAGATCGTGCCATTGCACTCCAGCCTGGGTAACAAGAGCGAAACTCCGTCTCAAAAAAAAAAAAAAAAAAAAAAATTGTTAACAACCTAACTGCTCATCAATAGGGAATGGTTAAATATATCTTGTTGGTACTTATCATGCAGCCATTAAAAAAATGAGATAGTTCTGTACATACTGATCCTAGTGATTAAGCAAGCAGACTCTAGATCCACACTGCCCAGTTGAAGTCCCAGCTCCACCACTTACTTTCCAGTTTATGGCACATTAGATGTGTTCCTCAAGCATGCAGTGCCCTAAAAATCCCTATTTCATAAGATTGTTGTGGGGATTAGATGAATGCATCCAAGTAAAACACTAGAATGGTGCCTGGCATAATTAATATTGCATTAGCCATTATGATCATGACTGATATGAAAGCCATTAATACATTATTTGGTGAAAAGATAATGTTACATAATAGGGGAAGCAGAGTTCCATTTTTGTCAAAAGAAAAATCTGTGTAGACACATTCATATGATTTGTACACGCAGAGAACCTGGAATTTCTACATGGGAGGAACTAAAGATTTGTTAATCTTGCCTGGAGGTTAAAATTGCCTAACAGGCCAGGTGCAGTGGCTCACACCTGTAATCCCAGCACTTTGGGAGGCTGAGGCAGGTGGATCATCTGAGGTCGGGAGTTCGAGACTGGCTTGGCTAACATGGTGAAACTCCGGTTCTACAAAAAACAAAAAAATACAAAAAAAATACAAAAAAAAAAAAAAAAAAAAAGAAAATTTAGCCGGGCATGGTGACACATTCTGTAATCTCAGTTACTCAGGAGACTGAAACAGGAGAATCACTTGAACCCAGGAGGCAGGGGTTGCAGTGAGCCAAGATCATGCCATTGCACTCTAGACTGGGCAACAAGATCAAAACTCCGTCTCAAAAAAAAAAAAAAATTGCCTAACAAACTCATGTTTTTTTTTACTTAGATTCGGTATTTATCTGGGGTGGCTTTGGAAGGATGCATTTGAGATTATGGGAATCAAATTTCCCAAACCAGTCTTTGGTGCAGCTATTTTCTATGGTCACAGAAATAGTCAGGAAAGGTTGAATGTACCAAACCGTTAATGGGGATTATTATTATTATTTTTTTTTTTAGACGGAGTTTGGCTCTTGTTACCCAGGCTGGAGTGCAATGGTGCCATCTCGGCTCACTGCAACCTCCGCCTCCTGGGCTCAGGCAATTCTCCTGCCTCAGCCTCCTGAGTAGCTGGGATTACAGGCACGCGCCACCATGCCCAGCTAATTTTTTGTATTTTTAGTAGAGACGGGGTTTCACTATGTTGACCAGGATGGTCTCGATCTCTTGACCTCGTGATCCACCCGCCTCGGCTTCCCAAAGTGCTGGGATTACAGGCTTGAGCCACCGCAATGGGGATTATTTATGGGCATGAGTGTATTTATGATCATGAGTGAGATGAGGAGGATGGTGGGTATGGAGTTTGGGGAAGACCTTTATACATTGCTGTGTTGTTTGTAAATAGTTCAATGTTCATTTATTTTGGAGCAACATCAAATAAAAGAGGAGCAAACAAGAAAAAAGGGATTGGGGCCGGGCGCAGTGGCTCACGCCTATAATCCCAGCTCTTTGGGAGGCCTAGGCGGGTGGATCACGAGGTAAAAGAGATCGAGACCATCCTGGTCGGCATGGTGAAATCCCGTCTCTACTAAAAATACAAAAAAATTAGCTGGGCATGGTGGCGCGTGCCTGTAATCCCAGCTACTCAGGAGGCTGAGGCAGGAGAATTGCCTGAAGCCAGGAGGCGGAGGTTGCGGTGAGCCGAGATCACGCCATTGCACTCCAGCCTGGGTAGCAAGAGCAAAAAAAAAAAACTCCGTCTCAAAAAAAGAAAAAAAAAAAAAAAAAAGAAAAAAGGGATTGGTTAACTTAATGTACTATAAAGTTACTAACAAAAGAGGGTGACGGTGGTGTAGTGTTTTGTTTTTGTTGTTGTTTTTTTTTTTTTTGAGACGGAGTTTTTTTTGCTCTTGCTACCCAGGCTGGAGTGCAATGGCGCGATCTCGGCTCACCGAAACCTCCGCCTCCTGGGTTCAGGCAATTCTCCTGCCTCAGCCTCCTGAGTAGCTGGGACTACAGGCACGCGCCACCATGCCCAGCTAATGTTTAGTATTTTTAGTAGAGACGGGGTTTCACCATGTTGACCAGGATGGTCTCGATCTCTTGACTTCGTGATCCACCCACCTCAGCCTCCCAAAGTGCTGGGATTACAGGCTTGAGCCACCGCGCCCGGCTGGTGTATTGTTTGAATTAACATGGAACAATGTGTTTGAGTGAATCATTGATCCAGAACATGGATTTTTATTGTATGAAACCTGTCCCCATCAGAGCCATACATAGGGTTGTATATGAGTGTCCAGAGAAAAGGTCTTCTGTACACTTAACTGTTAGTCATAATTTCTCTGCAGAGTGGGATGGTGGGGCTAGGAGGAAGGACTTTCACTTTTCATCTCATAATACTCCAAATCATTTGCATTTTTTACAAAGATCATGTATAATTTCTATAACAACAATAAAGGAAATAAGAATGTCTTCACTGTTGTACCTTGTACACGGCGTATGTTACACAGGAATGACATATTCAATTTTCAAGACATTACTTTAGGGATTTATAGATTTCTGCTTTAAGGAATAAATGCAATTTCAATCCATTTGAGTCGATTTCTTCTTATACCAAAAAAACCCCACAAAAAACAAAAACGGATCTTGTATCTAATTTGTTATGACAATACCATCACTTAAAGTACAGCAATTATGCAACCCCTTAATTTGAATTTCATTTTACAAGTGTACAAGACCTCACGGACAAAGGGAAGGCATAAAGTTAAAATCAGCATATCTAAAATAAATCACTCTGGTTACCAAAAAGACGTAGGGTATCTCAACAAATCTTAGAGCTCACATAGGCATAGATACTTCCCTGTAAACTTTAGGAATCTTGCTCATCTAACTTTTGCAGGGCTGAGTGAACCCCCTGCTCCCGTCAGTCGTTTCGGGAGCACCAGCAACCTCCACCCCAGCACGGGACTGTAGGGGGCCACTGCGGCGCAGGGGCTCGCCCGGCACTGAGTCACCGCCGGCCCGAGAAGTTCGGCGGGAGGCGCAGGGCGGGGCTTCCTCCCGCCGGCTCCTAGCCGGGCTATACTTTTCCGAGTCCACGTCTCTTCCTTTGGACAGGCGTGTTTCCCCAGGTCGGGCCCAGCCAGCGTGACAGCAGCAGACCTCGGAAAAGGGTGCTCCGGCGCCGCCTCGAGGACTTCCCCTAGCCGCCAGGGCAGCCCGGGCCCGCTCGGCCCAGCCCGTCACGGACTGAGACTCCCTGGGCCCAGCCCGCCAAACGCCTCGCTCCACAGCCCTCACCTCGCGGCGCCGAACGCAGCGGCCGCGGAATGGAGACCGGCTCCGACTCAGGTCAGAGGCCCGCGCCGGGCTGGCTCCGCGCGCGCGGCGGGGCAGTTAGGCCGGGCCGCCCGCGCAGACCGCCGCGTGCCGGGTCCGCGCGGGGAGCGCACGCGGGGCGGGCGGCGACAGGTGGGCAGGACGAGCCGCGAGCGAGCGAGGGCGGGCGGGCGCGCGAGGGGCCCGGCGGGGGGGCCGCTGGGAGGATGGCTCAGCTCTTTCTAAATATAAAACCGGCGTGAGCTGGGCGAGCGCGGCGCGGAGTCGCAGAGCCGCCGCGCGGGCCTGGCGCGCGGGGATTCGGCCGCACAGACGGCGGCGGCGGCAGCGGCTCCGCAGAGGAGCGAGGCTGCGGGAGCGCCCGAGTCGCGAGCTCGCGGGGGCAGCGAAGAGCGACGCTCGCAACGCGGAGGACGCAGGCGGCGGCAGCGGGCGGGCCTCGGGGCGCAGCGCGGTCCGCGCCGAGTGACCGGAGGCGGCTCCCGGCCTCTGCCGCACCGCGAGCCGCGAGCCCCCTGGCCGCACCCTTCCCCCCCCAGCTCCTCCCTCGCTCCCTCCCCGGCGCAACATGGCTGCGGCCGCCGCCTCCGCCTCCCAGGATGAGCTGAGTAAGTGCTGCGGCCGAGCCTGCGGCCGCGAGCCGAAACAGGAGCCGCGCGGGACCGGGGGGCGGCGGCCGGGGCCGGGCAGAAGGGCTGGGGCGCCAGGCCCGGTGGGCGGGCGGCGGCCGCGGAGTGCGGGGGGCTGGGGCGCCCGGGCCTGGTGGGCGGGCGGGGCGCGGGCCGTCGCCGCTGGCGTTTGTAGGCCTCAGGTTTGCACCGTCACGTTGCGAAATTGAAACTGGAGCCCCAGGAAGAGCACCTCTGCCGGCGATCCGCCCTGGCCCGGAGTCGGGGGAGCCCAGCCCCCTGCCCGCCGAGCCTTGGCTGGCAGGGAGGGCCGGAGCCCCGGGTGACGGGCAGTGTCCGTCTGTCCCGTCTGACCCCTCCGTGGCCTCGGTCCCCGACGGTTGGGCGAGTTCTAGAAATGTAGCTATCGGGAAGGGGGAGAAGGTGCCTTTCTGTGGCACTCTAGAATTATCAGCCGAAAGGTCACGAATAGGCGGTGACCCTCAGGTGGAGTAGGGAGGGCCGGAGGGCGGGGAGGGTCGCCCGAGGAACTGCTGGAGAAACCGCGGGGTGACAGTGCTTTCAGAAAGGAGTGTCAGTGCCCCCTCGACCGTACGCGGTGCAGCCTTCCCGGGGACGGCGGTCCCTGTCCGGGGAGCGCGGTGGTCACCCTGAATCCCAGGCCGCCCCGCCTGCCGCCGAGGTTCGCCTCGATGCTTTGTGGGAAGTGTAGTCCCGGAGCGCCGCGGGCCCACGCTGGGGTCATAAATACTGAATTTTCATAGGACATGGGACATGTGAGATAATTTCTAATTGCGTCTTGGGTGTTTATTTTCCGAAGGTTTTCTTCCTATTATTTATTATTTGTCAATGCTGCCCTTCAGTTTATGGCAAAAACAAGAAAGGTGTTATTTGGAGATGTTGTGGGTTTTAAATGGAATAAAGCATGGATGCGGTGTTGCAAGCTTTATGAAGCTTATGTTGTTATAGCCGCTTCTGAATTTCCATATGAGAGTAGTTATACACGTAATTTATGTTTCTTTGGTGCTTGTCAGTTTAAAGCTACTTTTATTTATATGATCTCACTTTTGCCCTCATAGCAACCTTTTGAGGCAGATAGGTAGGAATGATCCTTGTTTTAAAGAGGAGGCAGGTTTGGAGAGGTTAGGTTCCTTGCTGCTTTGACACAGAACTGGTGGAGCAGGAGTACTGTTTGCTCTTTTTGAAGCTGAAGTAAACACTTGGTGTGATCCTGAGCAGATTGGAAGGTCGGAGAAGACAAGGTCTCATGGTGCGATTAGAGATAGAAGTAGGCCGAATAGATTGCTATTCTGATAGTTCCACGTGGAAGCACCACCAGGCCTTCTGAGATCAGTTCTATGTTTTGCTTTGTTTTGTTTTTAATTGTGATAAAAATACACATACCATAAAATTTACCATCCTAGCCGTTTTTAAGTGTACAGTTCACTTGAATTGAGTACATTCTCACTGTTGTGTAATCATCACCACCGTCCATCTCTAGAACTCTTCACCTTGCAAAACTGAAACTTGATACCCATTAAATAACAAATCCCTATTCCCTCCTCCCCTTCAGCCCCTGGCGACCATCATTGTACCTTCTGTCCCTGTGATTTTGAGTATGTTTGTACCTCATGTAAATGGAATCATACAGAATTTGTGACTGGTTTTATTTTCATTTAGCATAATGTTCTCCAGGTTCATCCATGCTGTTGCATGTGTCAGAATTTCTTTTCCTTTTAAAGGTTGAATGATACTCTCTTGTGTGTATATACCATATTTTCTTGTCCATTTATCTGTCTATAGATGCTTGGGTTGCTTCCACCTTGTAGCTATTGGGAATAAGGCTGCTGTGAAAATAGCTGTACAAATATCTACTTGCTTTCAGTTATTTTGGGTACATACCTGGAAATGTCATTGCTGTGTGATAATTCTAGTTTTAAGTTTTAAAGGAACCAGTGGACTGTTTTCAACAGTGGTTGTACCGTTTTACATTCCCATCAACAATACACAGGGTTCTAATTTCTCTACATCTTGGCCAACACTTATCTGTATTCTCAGAAGTAACCATCCTGATGGGTGTGAGGTGGTCTGATTATTTTTTTTTTTTCAATTGTTATGCTGTATGACATCTGAGTTCCTCTTGTAGCACCAAACACATTCAAATCTGAATTGCTAGCAGGAATGGGGAACAAAACTAGAGGAAGAATTTGACATTCTGAAGTGGCTGAAGTTTTTGTGTCTATGCAGTGTGCTTCCATACATTCAGGTACTGGTTAAGATGCTGATAGTTAAGGGATTTCTTGGCTTTAGTAGCTAATGGAAAGTTAGGAACAAATAATTCCAATCCTTGCCTTCCCCTTGCTTTGTTCGGTTCAATTGTCAGTCATTAGCCACGGATAGGTACCTGTTGACTTGGTTTCTGCATTTCTTTTTTTTTCTTTTCTTTTTTTTTTTTTGAGAGGAGTTTCGCTCTTGTTACCCAGGCTGGAGTGCAATGGCGCGATCTCGGCTCACCGCAACCTCCGCCTCCTGGGTTTAGGCAATTCTCCTGCCTCAGCCTCCTGAGTAGCTGGGATTACAGGCACACGCCACCATGCCCAGCTAATTTTTTGTATTTTTAGTAGAGACGGGGTTTCACCATGTTGACTAGGATGGTCTTGATCTCTCGACCTCGTGATCCACCTGCCTCGGCCTCCCAAAGTGCTGGGATTACAGGCTTGAGCTACCGCGCCCGGCCTGCATTTCTTTTTTTTGAGACACAGTCTCACTTGGTCGCCCAGGCTGGAGTGCAGTTGTGTGATCTTGGCTCACGGCAACCTCCACCTCGTGGGTTCAAGCAGTTCTCTGCCTCAGCCTCCTGAGTAGTTGCGATTACAGGTGCTTGCCATCACGCCCGGCTAATTTTTTGTATTTTTAGTAGAGACAGGGTTTCACCATGTTGGCCAGGCTGGTCTTGAACTCTTGACCTCTTGATCAACCCGCCTCGGTCTCCCAAAGTGCTGGATTACAGGCATGAGCCACCAGGCCCAGCTGGTTTCCTTATTTCTTAGGAGAGATTGAATACTTTGCAGTTGATAACTTAGAATAATTTAACTTGAATGCTTATGCATGTACACTGGTTAAGAAGTTTCATATAAACCACTTTTAGTTTTAGAATGGCTATAATAAAATAGGAGATGGCTGATAAAATGTGCTTTTGGCCTGTTGTGGTGGCTCACACCTGTAATCCCAGCACTTCAGGAGGTCAAGGTGGGTGAATCATCTGAGGTCAGAAGTGAGACCAGCCTGGCCAACATGGTGAAATCCCATCTCTACTGAAAATACAAAAATTAGCCATGTGTTGTGGCGTGTGCCTGTAGTTCTAGCTACACAGGGGGCTGAGGCAGGAGAATCACTTGAATCAGGGAGGTGGAGGTTCTGGTGAGCTGAGATCGTACCACTCCAGCCTGAGCAACAGAGCTAGACTCTGATGTCTCAAAAAAAAAAAAAAAAAAAGTGCTTTTAAGAATTCTACCACACAAAAAAATGAGCAAATTATCTGAATATTTTCTATTATTTATGACTAGTAGATGATAATAAAAGCAAACTACTTTAGCTGGCATGGTCGTGGGCGCCTGTAATCCCAGCGACTCGGGAGACTGAGGTAGGAGAATCACTTGAACCCAGGAAGCGGAGGTTGCAGTGAACTGAGATCATGCCACTGCACTCCAGCCTGGGTGACAGCGAGACTCTGTCTCAGGAAAAAAGCAGCCTACTAGATGCCAGCATTGTTTTCCACCAACATTTTATTGTAAAAAATCTTCAAACATACAGAAAAGTTGAAAGTGAAAATTCATATGCCCACCACCTCGATCCTACCACTGATAGTTGAATAACTTCATCATATTTACTATAATAGCAAACTTTATCATTTGTTCATCTCTCATCTACTGACTTTTAAAAATTGTTAAACATTTTTAGTTTTACTTTTTTTTTTTTTTGAGACAGGGTCTCCCTCTGTCACCCAGGCTGGAGTGCGATGGTGTGATCTCGGCTCACTGCAACATCTGCCTCCCCGGGTCAAGCAATTCTCCTGCCTTAACCTCCTGAGTAGCTGGGACTACAGGTGCATACCACCCTGCCTGGCTAATTTTTGTATTTTTTTTTTTTTTGAGACGGAGTTTCGCTCTTGTTACCCAGGCTGGAGTGCAATGGCACGATCTCGGCTCACCGTAACCTCTGACTCCTGGGTTCAGGCAATTCTCCTGCCTCAGCCTCCTAAGTAGCTGGGATTACAGGCATGCACCACCACGCCCAGCTAGTTTTTTGTATTTTTAGTAGAGACGGGGTTTCACCATGTTGACCAGGATGGTCTCGATCTCTTGACCTTGTGATCCACCCGCCTCGGCCTCCCGAAGTGCTGGGATTACAGGCTTGAGCCACCACGCCCGGCCTTAATTTTTGTATTTTAATTAGACACTGGGTTTCACCATGTTGGTCAGGCTGGTTTTGAATCCCTGACCTCAGGTAATCTGCCTGCCTCGACTTCCCAAAGTGCTGGGATTACAGGCAGCTGCCACACCTGGCCCCTAGTTTTACTTTATTTATTTATTATTTTTTTTGAGATGGAGTTTCGCTTGTTACCCAGGCTGGAGTGCAGTGGTGCGATCTCGGCTCGCCGCAACCTCCGCCTCCTGGGTTCAGGCAATTCTCCTGCCTCAGCCTCCTGAGTAGCTGGGATTACAGGCACGTGCCACCATGCCCAGCTGATTTTTTTGTATTTTTAGTAGAGACGGGGTTTCACCATGTTGACCAGGATGGTCTCGATCTCTCGACCTCGTGATCCACCCGCCTCGGCCTCCCAAAGTGCTGGGATTACAGGCTTGAGCCACCGCGCCCGGCCAATTTTTTGTATTTTTAGTAGAGACGGGGTTTCACCATATTGACCAGGATGGTCTCGATCTCTTGACCTTGTGATCCACCCGCCTCGGCCTCCCAAA